TCTAAAGAAAGAAAAGGCAGGGTGAAAATTACTAATTAACGAATATATATGGGCGAGGTTTATAAGTTTGTACAGGGAATTGCTTTTGCTATGTTTTTGTATTTGGAAAAGCGTTCTCCACAGTAATTTGTATGAAACACGTTTTTATGTGCGAATTCATCTGGCTTTTTGAGTTCATATCAATTTTTGAAGATAAATTTTCTTTTTTATGTATATTACGTTGGTCAATGAAGTACCTAATACATAATTATATTCTTTTCACTCGAATACTTACGAAAGTAATTTAAAACATGCACGAATAGCGAAATTGTTCATTCTGTGGATGTGCGCTGTTGCACCTGTTGTTTCCACTAATCTTGATATATAAGATCTTAATATACAGGGTGTCACATATAAGGATGAAAAAAAATTGGGTGGTAGAGGGGATCGAAACAAGCACTTTTTCCAAAGGTTCCAACGTGTTTCGTTTGGAAGCCACCCTAAAAAAATGAAATTTACATTTCCTCTTTAATTTTTTTGTCAGAAATATATAAGAGTTAGAAAGACTAGTGACACGTCATTGAATGGGTTTTGGGGTATGTCCTTTCCAGTTTTGCAAACAAAATTTCATGTCATCATAATCGAAAAGTGGCGGCCTTGCAATTGCGCCATGCTTCGGCCTATTAAATATTTTATGTCATACTTGATTATTATTCAGTTATAATAATCCTAAATCAAGATACATTAAATGACAAATAATGCACTCCACCATGACAACCCCAATTATACGTAGCAACGGGCGTTATTTCTATAACGCCCAAGGGCGTTATTTCTGTAAATCCTATAAATATGGAATAATGAATCTGTACACACTTTTTATTTTCAACAACTGAATAAAACGAACTGTGTTGATGTCGCATTATCCTACTGTTATTTTGAAGTAAAAAAGAACAATTCTGGGACTGTCCAGGGAACACCGCACCAGCTTGGCCCAGACCCATACATTTTCTTTCCTCTTTGTAGATCAGATACTGCGGATCAGGTGCTTCTGTAAGGAAGGCGACTATCTGTTCGCAAGTAAGGATTTTTGATTTTTTTGGACGATAGCTTTCCTGAACTTGTTTTAAATACCCTTTGTAGATGCACAAATTTTTCGAAACTCTTAATCTTCTTCTTTACCATTAACTCTTTATACGTATAGCATTGAAAATTTCGTCCAAAGCGAATTGGGAGAAAATGACTCTGAGTGTAAATCACCTTTCCGTTTCATGACTAATAAAATTACTTAAACATACCGACTCTTGGAAGTAACCCAATATAACGGTTTCGTTTATTGTCTCCACAGAATTACTCACCATCCATTTTGCAAAAATAGCGTACTCTTTTTCATAAGAGGATTTCGATTTTTGTGGCACTATGGCTTCATTCGCTTTTGCGGCTCGCGCAAGAACGTGTGCCGGTAAATGAGACGCTTCGTCTGTCATTTTTCAGACAGTTTTTAGAATGTTTGACTTTGACAAATATAATATCTATCTCCATAGTTACGACCTCGGTTACGACCATGGATAACTTAATTTTGATGATTCTCATTATCTTCTCTTTTAATCATCTGGCACCGCTAATTCTTGGAAAATCATCAAGTATGACATAAAACGTTGAAGGCACCACGGGCGTTATGAACACAACGCCCACGGTCAACGTATAACCCTCGGGCCGAAGGCCCTCGGGTTCTACACTGTTGACCTGGGGCGTTATTTAGTTCATAACGCCCTTGATACCTTAATAACTAAAATAACGTTTGTAAGCGACAAACTAATACGTATAATGAACAATAATCTTAATGCATGTTTAATCCGAATCTATACGATTTAATCTGTATATTAGTCAATTTTGAAGACACGTCGACGGTTTTAATGCTATATTTTCTTTTAAATAGAGAAATGTGTTTTAAACAATTGTGAGGTATGCGTTACGCGTGACGACCACAGAATATAGACTCGTACGCTATATTCTGTGGCGTTACGCATAAGTTGATTTTATTCCCATCCAAAACATAGAGGGGATTTACGATAATTCAACCGTTTTAACCGGATTGGTAGAAATCACCATAGAAACAATTGTGGCAATAATTGTAACCATAGCAAAATCTACCAACTCGGTTTAACCGGTTGAATTATCGTAAATCCCCATAGTGCAAACCGAGCAATAAGAAGTACTCACTTCAACAAAGAAGAGAGAAAGACCCTTGAGAATGAGATGAGGGCACATCTTTCAAAAATACGACAATAATATTAAGGACCAAAAAGCGAACACCATCAGCGCCATAAGTTCACATTTTATCACCAGATTCCTTCATATTTTATAATAGTAACTTTTGGATTTTTTGCTTTAGTCTTTACTAACTGTAAAATATCAAACAAAAAAGTAGTAATAGAGGTGCCGGCTAATTAAGTAAGTGCCATTAACAGTAGCTAAATTATTGTGCTGTGTTGCAGTACACTTCTGATGAAGTCGTGAGGGGGTCTCAAAAAAAACGCCCTTAATTAATTTGAATTTTGTGACAAATCATAGTTTTTTAGGCCGTTAGCAGGCCGCATAATTAATTAAAAGAAGTTTACATTTTTGGTCAGTATTAACCGAACATGCTGTGTCGGCTTCAAGAGCCGTAACAATTTATTTTGCATTAATATCGTTTAATTTTTGCTTTTACAGTTTGCCGCGCTTTTTGGCATAGTAATTTTTAAGGCTCCGTTTAATGGCAAGGTAAGCTTTTTGTTACTTTCTGTTTCATAAATTATAGGGGAAAGGGGGATATTATTTCGCTTTCCTGTTGTTTAGTCTAATTAAGTTTGCTGGAGGCTTCCCAGACCGCATCACCACACTATTCCAGGGGCAAGGTTACCGCATCCCTTGGTGGCACCCAAGTTTATTGATTCTTTTTTTCTTCTTAATAAAAGTTCATTATTTATTAACTTTCCCTTAAATTCTAAAGCTCACCGTTGGTGTGTGAACTACCGAAGTTCGTCGCAATGGTAAATTCGCAACAAGATAAGCAACTATACTGATGGCAATTCGATCACGTCGTAGGAATATGTAGTTGGGCCCAATTTTGTTCTAGATTGTCGACGATTCGATTATTGAATAATCGACGTACGTGATTATTTTACTACACAGTATGGAATAACGATTTTTCAAAAATGAGAAACAGACAACAATCTCTACAATCAGTTTCATTTTATTAAGCTAAGCTCATGAAGACTAGGAGAGTAAGTTATTCTTTGTTTTAATGTGAGACTGCATCCCTTCAAATGTCCCGATTACATCAGTATTTGAGCTGTCGTCTAATTTTACCACAGGATAACTTACTCCCCAATAGCCCCAACGACATCCACTCTTTCTAGTTAAAGATCATTATATAAGATCAGTGTTTAAACAATATGGTAGAGGGATATACATTTTTTTCTGTGCGACCAATTAGCAACAAAATTCCTTTGAAAAACAATCTGAATTTTCATTTGCAGTGTATATCTTGTAAACTTTATGTGAACTACATTCAATGTACAAAATTCAACAAAACATTATGGATAAAATGTTTAATTTTGGCTTATGTTTAAATTAAATAAAGTGGAGAGCTCTCAAGCAATTTCTATTATTTATAATAAATACCAAAGTTACTATTACCCGTTTTGTGAAAACACCTGTAGGTACCTGATTGTACTTGTCAATAACATAATGCTTTTACTATACATCAACAAAAACTACTCGGTTAACTCGAGATTTCTAAATGACAATTACCAAGCAACGAATGGTAATTATGGTTACATTTTACACTCTAGTTGTATATAAACTTGATTTAGCTCACGAATTTATGTTTTTGAAAGCAGACCTTTCAAACTGAATATTTCAGAGTTTGATTATAAAGTTTGAAATATACAATTTATTTGCGCCTTTCGCATTCAATTTACTTCTAATGCCTAAAAGATTAAATATGACAGGGAACAAGCGTCGTTGTGGTAATTTCGCTACTTTGTGCTATCCATCAACGTCAAATAAAAAGCAAGGCATTTCTATTGGTAGTATCGGCAGGTAGATGCTAATAGTCGAGCCGATCGAAAAAGTCCTAATTTCTTAATATCCGGTAAGTGTAAAAGGACGTGTTAAATTTGAAATTGCATAAAACGCTCCCCGTGGAATCTATACACTACCGCTTGGCACCAGTCAGCGGTGGTTTTTATTTAACTACACGCAGAACCTCAGTTCACCTACCGAAAAAAACAAATAATTTGAGATGAGCTAGAAGAAACAAAAGTATCTATCTTTAATTAGGGTGTAGCTTTGGAGCTGCGTTTCGCAATTCACATAAAATACATTTCTTTCCTTTTCACTGCAACTCAGAAACAAAAAAATTCCGTTTGAAAGCAGTTTTGTGTAGTCATTATCTCAAACATATTTGCGTAAACTTACTAATTAACAACAGAGGAACATTAGCCGTTTCTGAGTTATTCCAAAGCATTTTTGAATTATTGCAGATTATCCGGGTTTAACAGCTTTAGGTAAATAACTTTAAACGCAAACTTTGACGTTTAGAAACTTTCAGGTGGTATTTTGCGGTAATTGATGTATTTCTATATTTACAGAAATGATTACGGGAAATACGTTCACCGAGGGAGTTAGGGGATAAGCATTAAAGGAAAATGTCAGTATAAGGTGGGGTCAAAAGTAAAATCCCAAAGAGCTTTTATACATGTACGTATAGATAAATGCATCTGTCTTAATTGGTGTGTAAATAGTGTTCGTTCACGAAATTGCCCTAAGAAAGAAGAAAAATTGTCAAAAACTTTCTTAAGGCGGCACAAGAAAGAGACACGATAATCAATCATTATTATCTTCAAGTGGGAGATAAATAATTCTGACGGGTCGTGTTCTGCCAACCTACAGCAAATCAGCAGCTTTCTGATTAATTCCGGCTTCAACAGTAGCACAATGTCACACACGTTACCAATAAAGAAAAATCTAGTCACCTGTGTGGATGAAGTGGTCGTCTCCAACGACGTACAAAATCACCATAGCAATCAGAAGTACGAACTTGATCTTCATTGTGAGAAGGATTTCAACTACACTTGATGCAGAAACCTAAAATTGGGTTGCGCCATCACAGATCACTTTGCAGTTATTTCCTTCAAGGATCACATGTCGAGATTCTATTATCAGGGGGTCACATATCTAAACGAGTTATTTATATAAGCCGCCGAATCTAAAAACAAGTTTCGTAAAATTACTTTTTTCTGTAATTCATATCAGCAAAATGCACTAACGTGCAGATTGCATGTTGAAGTGTGGCGCATCAAGCCGAGATAATAAAAAAAGGCAATAATATGTTACAAAGACCATTCGTGTAGCGTTGTATGGAAAAGAAACGTGCATTTGCAGATTTAATTAAAAAGGACAATTTCAATACCGATATTTCAACAGAGAATATAAATTGAAAGCATGTAACAACCTGTTCTCTTTAGCTAAGGACGTTTTGCTTTTTTTATGCTTCGTAATTATTTTTGAGGAAGGCAAATTCAGATAGAAGTTGTCATGTCAACGCGAGAAGCTATGGAAATTTTACTAATAACACTAATTCCACACCGCAAAGGTGCTTTGGATCGGAAATTCCAAGTGGATTGGAATAACACGCGAATTCTGTACTTTTAACTAATATCTGTAAAACAGCGTTACAGTATGTCGACTAACGGTATTACGATAATCGTTCACTAGGGCATTTAATAAACACGCTTACAGTAGCGCGGCGTCGAGACGACTAGTAAAGCATCGCAGCCCTGCGCTTGCGGGAATCACATGAAGATTCGTTTAAATTGCGTCGAATTTTTCTGGATGTATCTCATTTATATATAATTACGTGGAAAAGACTCTTATCAGGGATAATCAAAGAGGAAAAGCGCGCGGGGATCTCAACGCAATATTTATTTAAAGCGTTAGCGACTTACAAGGTAGAACGGCTTCTCTTTATCCTTTGGAAAATGTAACACGTCGTCACTTGTAGAAGTAGAGACCAATTACGGTCTAAAAGACAATATAGCTTTATAAAGTTAGGTTATGTGTTTTACAAGATAAAATCTACACCAGCAGGAATTCTGATGTCAGTATGTCAAGTATATTGGCCCAACTCGAAAGGGGAAATTCCTTACGGTTCTTTGTGACAACAAATAAATCTAACTTCACTGCAATTGCAAAGACTGTCCTGTCAGCTTCCTGATATAGGGGCAATTCGGAGCATTGAAATCCGTACGTTTGTGCGAATACGACAAGAATTCGAATAATGTGTAAGTGCTAATAGCTTATATTAAAATTGGCATACTTGCTTATGGTAAAGCATAACGTCATTAATGGCTTTCACGATCTCTAGTATCCTTTACTCGGAACAAGTAGGCCTACTATAAAGACACATGCTCCGAAATCAGACATAAACAGCATAGAAAAGCCATATTAGTTTGTACCATCTTCTATGTGAACAAGATCATATGATTAGAGAATATGCATCATTACTTCGCTTGAGTTGCGTTACACCTGGTAGCGTTATTAAAAGAGATTTGATTCGTAATTTTTAAGATTAATAATAATGGCAACAGTAGTAGTAGGAGATTTTTTTACAGACTAATGATAGGTACAGCCAATGACTACGAGAGTGTTTCTTTTTTAAATTTTTTCTCTAATTATAAGATATCTTATAATGTTAAGATAATAAGATAATCTTGTACTTAGAGAAAAAATTTAAAAACGAAACACCGTTAAGTCATTAGTAGTACCTATCATCAGTTTGTAAAAAAAATCAGCTTCATTCTTCCAACCGTAACCTTGTTATATCCGTAGAAATTTCGTGAAAAACCGACTAAGAATTGTTTTTTTACGGAGTTATCAAGTGTGCGCGATTTTTTTAAATATTTTTTTAAGAGCTATTATCAACGTTTTCATTTGGTGTATAACTTATTTTCTCGAAAAACAACCTTTCAGAATTGGTACCACAAAAAGTACCCGCAGCGCCTTAAGTCGTATGACCTGAGGTGGCAGACGATCGATTTTAGCATACTCTGATAGGGCAAAATGGAACTGCATCGGTTAAAATTTTGATCATTCTCGTTCAGTGGATTTCGTGTTAGCTCCCCTACTATAGGTATATGATACGAATTGCTCTTAATTTTTAATGCAGTAGCCGCCTTTCCAGTTTGTAAAATTCGATTATAAATTTATGTCGGTTATAATAATTTAATTCCACAATTAGTCCAATCCCGATTCGTCAGTGAACCATACTTAGTCAGTCACACATTACTATACATAAGCCTTATAAATATTTTGGGCGCATCAAGTTCGGCACTGTTGACGTATACGTATCCAAGTATTCCGAACACTAAATAATGCAGGTTGAATGATACCAATATTCTTAGCGTGATGTTGTAGTATTTATTTTTAAATATAATTAATTTTATGTAAGTTTGGTTGCCTATACCAATGGTACCCTTACCACAAATAACGTTAAATCAATTTATGAAACTGTGCGCATATACTTCGATAAGAAGTGGAAATGAAAAAGGAATGCGAGCGATCCACGAGAACGAGATCGAATATTGTATTTGGCGTACCAGATTGATACCGATTTTATTGGCCGCAAGCTGCCCACATTTTGTAGTAATTTTTTTTGTGTTTGAAAAAACCCTCATCGAGGTGAGTTGCGATCCTCTTTTTCACTAACAATGCATTCAACTACAAATATACGTTATTTCAGGGTTTTTTTTTTGTACTATAAGAAATTGAATTGAGCCTATATCCTGCACAAGAATAATTAGAGAATCCAGATTTTTACTGCGACAGAAACAGCAGCGTTTCTTTTCAACACTGTCTAATTTCCAATCACCGAATCTCACGCCAACATTGCGGATGGTTCAACTCCAACTTCACAGAAGATAAGATAGCGACTCAAAAATAAGGCGAGTTCGTTCCATTTTTTTAGACGGTATCGTTTGCTAAATTGGCCCCTTTTTTTTCTTTTTCTGTACAATAGTAAATAGTATCACCAATCTACTAACACTCTTCTTAGTATTAAAAAATTTCACATTTTTATACTACTCTAATTGATGTAAATAAACTGGTTTTTGTGTTACGGTCTCAACCCCGTAAATTTGTTATTATCATTAAGGTTGAGTGGCGCCCAGACGCCCCAGTGTTCAAGGGAACCGATAAGCCCAAGACCGACGATAGCTGCCGGCGCACGTAACAATTCCTTTTTTTTTTGGACTAAAAATTCAACTAAAAATTAAAATGTTACAAATGGCGCCCAACGTGGGGCCTTGAACGCAGGTGGCGGTTTATATGTATTAAATAATTTATGTTATTGGAAATTCCTGTAAACCAAGTTTGTAGATAACCAATTTAGCAAAATACCCGCTGATATTTTTGAGATTGTTGATGCGTCGTGTAAAAATTTTTTTTGAGGTTTCGTTAATGTGTCCATTTATTGTTCAGTGTTGAAATCGCAAAAAAAAAAAAAAGAAATTGTGCAACAATAGGCATGGAGGACTTTAAGCCCTCACATTTGTTAATTGATGAAATAAAATATGAATTAAGAATTAGAGGAGTAGTTACAGATCGTCCAGTAGACGACAAGCGAAAAATTCTAAACAAATTGTTGGCTAAAGAAAGAGGTCGTCACTTAACTCATATTGATCCATTTTATGATTTTGGTCGTGAGCAGGATGCGATTAATAAAACGCTAGAATCCATTTCTAATTTAGTAACTGAATTTGAGGGGAATGAGATTGATTCCGCATTTAAGCGCGGCATATCACGTCTCAATCATGTTTCTGGTAGGATTTCGCGCATTCTAATTCCAGATGATGATGACGATCAACTGGAAAAAATCCAAAAATTTAAAAATGAATCATATGCGACTTGCCTTGCGTTAGAAGCGGATTTATCCGATAAGGCGACCGTTGGTAATGCAACCAATACCTTTCCTGAAATCGTGAACTTAAATAACACCATTATGGCCCAACCTACAGTGCCACCCGTAATACATACTAGTAATAAGGTAATTCCGGTTTATAAATGGAATTTGAAATTTAATGGTGATCCGCGGCAATTGCATCCTTTTTTAGAAAAAGTCTTGGCATTACACCAATCGCGTGGAGTATCAGAAAAAGATCTGGTTGCTTCTGCCGGTGACCTTTTTGTTGATAAAGCTTTTGTGTGGTATCGTACAATCAAATCAAAAGTTACCGAGTGGGATGATTTAGTCAAATTATTAAAGCAAAAGTTTTTACCTCCAGATTTTGAGGAAGAAATTTGGAATGACATAAAAGCTAGAAAGCAGGGCAAAGCAGAATCAACCACAATTTTTATTGCTGTTATGGAGACACTGTTTAGTCGTTTGGATAGATCTCCCGCGGAGGCAACGAAGATCAAATACATTAGACAGAATTTGCTACCTCAATATGTCACACACTTAGCATTAACTGAAATTAATAATCTAGATCAGTTGGTTAATTGTTGCGAAAAAATTGAAAACGCCTCGTATCTTAAAAACAAGAGTCAAAACCAAGATAAAATCAATAGCTTTTCGTTTTTAGAACCCGAATTATTATACAGTAGTCAATTAAGTATCGATAAGGGTCCCAATTCTAAAGAGTTTCCGACAGCTACCAATAAAATTAACTTTAAATTTAAACCTAATCGGGTGTCAACAGTTTCGTGCAGCAATAACGCCTCTTCAGCTCAAACGAACAGAACTAAGGTCTTCCATAATTCAGAGATAGTATGTTGGAATTGCGGATTACCAAATCATACTTACACTTCTTGTAAAGCCAAACGGAGCACCTTCTGTTATCGTTGCGGAGAAAGGGACTTTTTGTCAACCAATTGTCCCAAGTGTAACAATCCAAAAAACTAGGTCGCTGGAATCGGTTGCCTGGCCGAACTGATTCCATGCGTATATCCAAAATGGCCTTTAAGTTTCCAGTTAATTCTAAAAGTATGTTTAATCCAGGTGATTGGAACAATTGGCTACAAAAGGTGAAATCTTTTTATAATACCGATAGGGGAAATAATTATGGGGAAATTGCTCCTTTTTTCGTTACGCAACATCATGACAATCGCCCTTACATCCCAATTAAAATATTTGATCAGGAAGTGGCATGTCTCCTAGATAGTGGAGCTACTACCACTGTTATAGGTAGAGATGGTTTAAGATTTATCAAAGCACTCAAACTGTTTGCACCTCCGTATAAAATGAAATTTATTGTAACTGCAGATGGGTCGAAACGTAGGGTGTCAGGCGCCGTTGACCTCCCCCTTTATTTGCATGACCAATTTCATATTATTAAAGCACTGGTCGTTCCATCACTTCATCATGAAATCATACTTGGTAGTGACTTTTGTCGAAATTTTCAGTTAAAAATTGATTTTAAAAATAACAAGTGGGAAGTTCAAGATTCAAATAAAATCTTGATGGTATATGATGATAAACCGAAGTTTTCTTTCCTCGCTAGTGACGGAAAGGAACTCAGTAATTTAAATGCAGATCAAATCAGAGTTGCAAAAAAGGTAATTAACGAATTTAATGAAATCGGGGATGAAGTAGTGTTAGGTAGGACGAACAAAATTCGTTATTCTATAGACACCGGAGATTCCAAACCCTTCAAGGAAAAGCAGTATGTACTTTCTCCATATATGATGGAAATCTTGAATAAGGAACTAGACGATATGTTAAGATTAGGTGTTATTGAACCCTCCAACAGCCCCTATTGTAGCCCTGTTTTGTTGGTGAAAAAGTCGGATGGCCAGTATCGTTTTTGCTTTGATGGTCGTCGACTCAATGAAGTCACAAAGCACGATAGCTACCCCCTTCAGAACGTCGATAGGATTCTTAGTAGTCTTCGAAATGCTAGGTACATTTCGTCTATAGATCTACGCAAAAGTTTTTGGCAAATCCCTCTCGAGGAGTCTTCGAAGGAAAAGACGGCATTCGCGATTACGGGAAGAGGACTCTTTCAATTTACAGTTTTACCATTTGGTTTGCGCAATGCTGCTCAAGTTCAACAAAGATTGGTTGATAGCATGTTCGGTCCTGAGTTTGAACCTTTTATTTTTCCATACATTGACGACATCATTGTCATATCCCAGACCTTCGATGAACACGTTAGGTTGTTAAAATTAGTTTACAGTCGGTTAAAAGATGCGCACTTAACGGTGAATTTAAATAAATGTAAGTTCTTCAGATCTTCCTTGAAATACCTTGGTTTTATTGTGGGAGAGAATTCTCTACGAGCTGATCCTGACAAAATCACCGCAATGATTAATTATCCTCGTCCTCGTACCACAACTGAAATAAAACGATTTATTGGCATGTGTGGGTGGTACAGGCGGTTCATCGAAAACTTTTCTTCGCTAGTTTCTCCGTTGAATGATCTTCTAAAGGGGCGCAAAAAGAAAGAAAAGATTTTATGGTCTGAGCAAGCAGAACGTGCATTCATTCAAATCAAAGAGGCTCTAACTTCAGCACCAATTTTATCGCAGCCCGACTTTTCAGAAAAATTTACCATACAGTGTGATGCTTCAGATACCGGTTTAGGCGGTGTTTTAACCCAAATTGTTAATGGAGAAGAACGTGTTATAGCATACGCAAGTCGATCATTATCTAGTGCGGAGCGTAATTACACCACAACTGAGAAAGAATGCTTGGCAGTGTTGTTTAGTATAGATAAATTTCGGCCTTACATTGAAGGTGTCAGTTTCGATGTGATCACAGACCACTATAGTCTTCTATGGCTTAACAACATGAAAAATCCATCTGGAAAACTTGCGCGATGGGCGGTGAGATTACGTCAACATACAGTTAATTTAATTCATAGGAAGGGTAAAGACCATATAGTCCCAGATGCCTTATCTCGAGCTATTCCTGAGGAAGGCGATCCTGCAGAAATCAACTGTTTAAGCGGTAGTACTAGTACAACCGTAGATGATGACCTCAACATCGTCAATGAAACTTTAGACTGTTGGTACTTGAACCTTAGAAATAAAATATCCGCATCCCCAGAACAGTATCCTCAGTGGAAAGTGATCGAAAATCTAGTCTATAAGTTCGTTCCCTCAAAATTGCCTTTTAAATCAAACATTAGAGAGTGGAAACTTTTGGTTCCAAAAGCTCAGAGAGTCGGTACAATTGATAAATGTCATAGTCCTCCAACTAGTGGTCATTTTGGTTTTTATAAGACACTTGGTCGTGTTTCGGAGTTGTATTACTGGCCACAAATGAGGTACGATATTTTGAATTATATTAGGAAATGTGACATTTGTGGGTCTCAGAAAGTTTCGTCGAAAGGGCGAATGGGAAAGATGGGTGCACCTAAAAGAGCGGAATATCCTTTTGAGATCGTAGCTGCAGACATTATCGGCCCTTTACCCAGGTCCACTAAGGGTTTCTCATATTTGCTTGTAGTTGGCGACTGGTTCACCAAATATACGTTGTTGTTCCCCCTTAGAAAAGCGACAGCTAACGAAATTGTAATGCATATGGAGGAAAATTTGTTTTTAATTTATGGAGTTCCTAAATACATTATTTGTGACAACGGGTCTCAATTTGCCGGATCAGTTTTTCGCGACATGGCAGAAAAATATAGTGTCCAAAAAATTTTGTTTACTCCAAAGTATTCTCCACAATGTGACTTTATTGAGCGAACCAATCGCACAGTGGGAACTGCAATTAGAAGTTACATTAAAGGGAACCACAAGCATTGGGATAAAGAGCTAGCAAAAATACAATTCGCTATAAATTCGGCTAAGCATGAAGTAACAAAGTACAGTCCGTCATTCCTTGTGTTTGGTCGTTACGTACCAATATCTGGTAATTATTATAACGGTACCATGCCGGTAGAAGGAAATGTGGAAGATTATGTGTCCCGCATCAAAAATTTATCAAAAATATATGTACATATTAAAGATAAATTACAAACTAGCTATGAACGCAACTTGCGTCACTATAATTTGAGGAAGCGCGAGTATGTTTTTAAAGTAGGTGAAAAGGTTTGGCGGAAAAATATGGTGCTGTCGGACGCCAGTAAAAACTTTTCGAGTAAACTTACACCAAAATTTGTTTTATGTAAGGTTAAAGAAAAAATTTCAAATTTAGT